AAAAAAAAAAAAAAAAGGTCGTAGTTAAACGGGCATGTTTTCCACGTGGTGAAATTATACTTTTAAATTTTGAATTTACAAGCATTATGTATTTGACTTGGAATTGATCGACAAGCAGGATTGGGCAATGGGCTGTCGCAAATTTACAACACATTTTATAAATAAAAATTACAAGAAATTTTGTACATTTAGGACGACATCTTTCTCAGACAAAAATGTGCAGTTAGTTTCTTGGTCTGCATCTTGACACAAAAGAAAATAAAGTGGAGTGGCCACTCGATGTTAGTGGCGCTTCCGCGCCGGAGCGCCGACCCTCCGGGCTGGTTCATAGTGAGGTGCCGTAATGGACCCCAGAGCAGCAGCCGCGCAGCTCATTTTGAAGTTAGATTAAACCGCAGCGAGCTCGCCGCAACCAGCCTTCCCCTTTTCAATGATTTGCTCCTTCTGCTTTGCTATTTTGTTTTAATACGTATATTTGCCGTTCGCCCATCGGACGCGCATTATCGATAAAGCAAGAAATCTGCGATGGAAATCTCAAACTTTGAACTTTTGCACCGGCCGACTCTTGGACGGCCGCGGAAATAATTTCAGACATATTTTTCTTTTTTTTTTCAAATTAATTTTTGTTGTTTTGTTTCCGTATGGCTTATTGGGGCGTGGCCACATAGTAGACGCGTTTCGCACCCTCGCGATCGACCTATTAGTCCCTGCGTTAGGGTGATGTGCTTCCTTTTTGTTTAATGTCAATATCGTATCGCACGAAAAAAAAAGTTGCAAAAGATTGATCGAGGTTTTTTTAATACTCTTTTCTGTTGATTACTGGTGCAATAGTGCTGAAGTAGTTCCCTCGTGCCCTGGTCGTGGCGAGCGCTGCGAGAGCGCCGCGCCGTGTGCTGGTGGGGCATATTGCCGGGGCATTTCGTTTCGACGAAATGAAAATACTGCCTGGGCAGCATATTGCTGCGTATGTGTCCCTCTGCTACACGGGGGGCTGGGCGGGGAGGGCGCGAGCCTCGAGCCACAGCGGAGGGAGAGGACGGAGCCCTAGCAGCAGCAGCTCGGACGTGACCAGACGCCTCGTCAAACCACTTGGTCATGACATTCCTCCAGGCTCCCCCCTTTTTTTTTCTTATATTTTCTTCTGCAAACGAGAAAAATACGGGAAAATAACCTTGCGTTTTGTGTAATCCGGCAATCCTGTATCTGTCCTTTTGATTTGGCATTCCCATGTTGGGCCCTGCTCGCCCCGCCTCCGGGAACCCAACACGGCGCCAAATTGCCACTTCACGTTCGACGTCATACGAGTGTACAGAAGGGTGCAAATCAAAGCTCCGTCTAACTCAATAGATTGGGGGGCGGAGGGAGAAGGGAAGGGCAGAGAGAGAGAGATGGGACACAGAAATGAAATGGGAGATGAGAGCATGAAGTCACCGTCTCAGTCAATAGCAAAAAATATCTGCTCGCTCATGTAATTTTGCCCTTTTGTAGGAAGTGAATGGGCGAAAAGTAGACTTTTCTTTTGAAGGAAAGGTAATATGCGTAATGATGTCAGAGTTGCGGGTGGATTTCCGCTTGCGGATGTTGGGGTGCGCTCGTTAGTGGGACGCAATGCGGGGGGTCGGTCGAGGGCCAATTCCATTAGGAGTACCAAACGTACCGCCTCCTGCTGAGATATGGGCGCACACGCGCGCCGCACCAGCGCAGAGAGAGAGAGAGAGAGAGAGAGAGAGAGAGAGAGAGAGAGAGAGAGAGAGAGAGAGTCGGCCCCGCCTGTGCAATCCGCATGTCGCAATGCGTCATCTCTAGTTGCGCTGCGCGAGAGGCGTAAGTGCAGTCGACATGCTGGAGGACGAGCAGCATGATGACGCCCACCACGGCGTGCCTCCATATCGCTCCCAATAAGGCGCCCTGCATCATTCTCGTATCAAGTTTGTCCCATTCCCATAAGGTTTGGCATCCCTGCGGCCTCCCTCTCTCTGTCGCCCCCCCCCCCTTCTCTCTCTC